CAATAGTTCCTCTCTAAATGTCTTGTAGACTTCAGCAGTGAAACAAACCATCAGGGCCCAGGATTTTCTTAGTTGATAAGTTTTTAGTTACATTTTCAATTTCATTGTTTGATATTGGGTTATTTAGAATTTGTAGGTCTTCTTTGTTCAACTTTGGTAATTAATACATATCTAGGAATATGTCCATTTCTTCTGTTTTCCATCTTGTTGGTCTATGGGTTCTTGAATTAGGTACTGATGATCTTCTCTCTGGACTTCTGCTGGGTCTGTTGTAATTTCACCCTTTTAGTTCCTAATTGCATAGATTTGCACCTTTTCTTTTTTCTTTTTTTCTTTTTTTGATATGGCTGGCAAAGGGTTTGTTAATTTTGCTTATTCTTTCAAAGAACCAACTCTTGGCTTCTTTGATTTTTTTTTTGGTATCATTCTCTTAGTCTCCTTTGCATTGATTTCTGCTCTGTTCTTTATAATTTCCTCCTTTATATGAGCTTTGGGTTTGTCCTGAGCCTCTTTTTCTAGAAGCTTCAGATTCAGCATCTGGCTGCTTAATTGAATTCACTCTGTTTTCCTAATATGAGTATTCGCTACCATAAATTTCTTGTAAGACTGCTTTCACTGTGTCCCATAGATTCCGATATGTTGTATTGGCATTGTCATTTAATTTAGAAATTGTCTGATTTTTTTTTTTTTTTGGTACTGGGGACCAACTTGGGACCTTGTGCCTGTGAAGCAGGCAGTGGACTATGAACTAAATCCCCAGTCCCAGAAAAACAAAAGCCCCACTACCTGATGCTGATTTCATCCTGTTCACCAATGGGAGCAATTTCATGGAAAATGGGGAATGCTAGGCTGGCTATTCAGTGATGACCCAAAACAAAGTGTTCCAAGCAGGACCACTTCCCCACCCAATGGTCAGCTCAGCAAGCAGAGCTTTGGGCACTCATACAGGCTCCCTGATGGGCAAAGGGAAAGAGGGTAAATGTTTGTACAGATTCCCATTATGCCTTTGCTACCTTACATATTCATGGCATAATGCATAAAGAGTGGTCTTCTCACAGTGGAGGGCAAATAAATTAAAAATAAACAGCAGATAATGCAGTTATTGGAGGCCATGTGGGAACTTGATAAAATAGCAGTGATGCATTGCTCTGGGCACAAAAAAAGGAAGACATGCAAAGACAAAAGGCAATCTGAGGCAAATATAGAAGCCAAAAAATAGCTAACAGAAACTTCAGATGACCGTGCTCACCCATGCATAAAAGAAAATTGGAGATACAAAACCCTCTAGCTACTATAGAATATTCAGATAAAGAGAACGAATGGGCCAAGGAACAATTGTCTGAGAAACAAGGATTTGTTTGGATCCTACCTAACCACAGCATAATGATAATAGAGGCACTGTCATACTATTGGATTAAAAGAGCCGTGGTGCACACCTGTAATCCCAGCACTTGGGAGGCTGAGGCAATAGGATCACTGTGAGTTCAAGACCAGCCTTGGCCAAATAGTGAGTTCCAGGTAAGTTTCAACTATGCAGTGAGACCCTGTCTCAAAAAAGCAAGCAAGCAAGCAAACAAACAAACAAACTATTGGATTGAAAGATATCATGATTTGACTCATGGGGAGAAAATGGCCCCAAACACTGTTAGAGAGATATTTCTTCATACCTTGGATTTCTGCCTTGTGTGAACAAGTCTCAAAAAGATGTCAAATTTGTCAGAAAATAAATCGGACTTCAGGACCCAGGGCACTATCTGGAATATAACGGAAGAGCACAACTCCCCTTGAGGGCATACAAATAGATTTTACAAAGGTCTCTCCTTGCAGAGGTTATAAATATTTGTTGGTATGTGTTTGCACTTACTCTGGATGGCCTGAAGCCTTCCCTACAAGAACAGAGAAGGCTTCAGAAGTATGCAAAGTTTTATTAAAGGAAATAATCCCAAGGTTTGGTCTATCTCTCTATATAGGCAACAACAATGGATCAGCATTTGTAGCAGAGGTTTACAAGACCTAGCTAAATTATTGCACATAAAATGGTATTTACACACTACATATCAGCCCCAGAGCTCCAATAAAGTAGAAAAGATAAATCTTGCTATTAAGAATGTATTAATTAAATATTGTTTGACAGCACCGGTGCCATGGGTCAATTTGCTCCCTTTAGCCCTTCGTGAGATAAGAAACACCCCAGTTTATACTGGATTCTCCCCATACGCGGTCTTATTTGGGAGACTGCTATGTATTTTAAGAGACTTTACTGGAAATTTATCTCAGTTAGGCTCCTCCACTCTGGAATTACAATTATTAGAGTTGGGGGAAGTATTCCAAAATATACAGGGGCAAATTAGAAATAAGGAGGATCTCCCTATGTTAACTCCTGCCAATTTGATAAAACCAGGGGACCAAGTTTATGTTAAAAATTGGAAAAAGACCCCTAAACAATACATATGGAAAGGACCATGTGAGACACTTATGGTTACTTCCATAGCTGTCAAGATGGCTGAAGTCCAACCATGGATCCATAATTCCAGAGTAAAACGAGCTTACCCAGAGGACTCCATGAACTGCGACCCCAAAGGAAAGCACACTCAAAGCCCTGCTCTCATCACTCCAGAGGCAGACAGTCAATACACAACTAAAGAATGAGGACTGCAACTAGGATATTATGGACTCTTTTATTATGTCAGATGGTTGTGGGTTATTTTGTTTTTAAATTAAGAATCTCTAATTATGCCTAAAGACGATAGGTTTGATGAACAATATGTAACCTTCAAAACTACTAAATAGGAACCAGAGGGAGATCCTCTCACACCTTCTTTGATGCCTGCCCAGGAGAACATGATGGAAATCCTGGTACCATAGATATACACAATAAAGGCATACTGTTCAAATAAAACTTGAATATGGTTAAATAATTCTGATGTGACCAGAGACACTCCTAATTATGGTAACTGTAAACAGGGACAATGTAATCCCTTAAATATATATAGATAGACCCAGGGATGTGACTTAATTACAGGGAGTGATTTTCATGTTTATATTGGATACTAGTCAACTGCTAGACATGGACCTCAAAAATTAAAAAGGTGAATTTTGCACATTAAAGTGGTCTAGAAAAACACTCCTCCAGAAATAAAAACCTCCTGTGCTGCAGGAGATACAGGATATACTTAAAAGACATCCAAAGAATTATACAGAAATAGATATGATGGATTTAATTAATGGGACTCATTCACTGCTGCTACAAGCAGAACAGAATTTATCCTCTGATTGCTGGATTTGTTTACCACTCACCATGATGACTTATCAAGCAATTGGCATCATAAGTGATCTGCCTTTAGCACTAGTGAAACTTGCTATGTATGCCCTGCTTAGCTACCCATTAGATGTAATTGGTATTGGAACTTGCTTTCTTGGTATTCAAAAAATCACACAACATCTCAGCAGTTTACACTAATATTATTGATTTTCTTCGACTACTGGTAATTACTCTTCTCCAAATGGAACCTTCTTTCTCTGTAAAAATTGTGTTTTTAGAGTGATTTTGAAACACTGTACAGGTTTACGTGCTTTGGGGATCTTAATCCCCAACTTGTCTATGCCCTCTCAACAATGAAAAAAGTGCCTCTACAGATCACTGCAACTAATAGCTTGACAGGAAAAAAGAGAGACCCAATTGTCCTCCCTATATTAACAGGATTAGCTATAGCTGGCAGCCTCACTCTGAGTGTCACAGCCCTTGGATTAGGGCAACAACAGTTTGTGGCCTTAGGACAAGAAATCAGGAAGGACATGGAAGAAATTTGAGATGGTACTCAAGCCTTAGAAGCTCAGTTAGACTCATTGGCTAATGTGGTGTTACAAAATAGATGAGCCCTTGACTCACTTACTGCTCAGAGAGGAGGCACCTACCTTTTTTTTTTTTTTTGAGGAGAAGAATGTTGTTATTATGCCAACAAATATGGAATAATACAAGAATCACTAGATAAATTACAGGATCATAGTAAGGGGCTCAAAAAGGAATTTGGTCCTGAGGACCCAACATACAACTTTGGCTTCAACTTGTTGGGACAGAAACCTTGGGTCAGCACTCTAGTGGGGCCAATAGTTACTATACTACTGCTGCTCATGTTTGGTCCCTGTATAGTACAACGGATATCTAAACTCATACCTACACCATAGGGTAGCCGCTACCTAACATTATCAAATGCTAATTATGTGGAATAATGAAAAATGGAATGAATTCAACAAGGAGTAAGGAATTACCCCCCAAAGACAAAGGGAGGAAAGATAGAAAAAAACTTCTGTAGTCTGAAACCTATAAAATGTTAAAGAAAATATAGAATAATCACTGTCTTTTGCTTCTGTAATTTTCTTTGCTTTGCTTGTTTAACAAAACACCCAGGGTTTTACCACTGAAGCTTAAAGGCACATAGCCTCAGTTTAAAATTAACAAATGTCAGAGGGGCTTAGCAGCATCCCAGGATGAGCCAGATGTTCAAGCTAAGATAACAGTCCTTCAGCCATAAAACTTTCTGTAAACCATAAGACTATAAAGGGTTTAAGATGAAATGAATATCACCAGCCTGCTTTCCTAACCCTGGCCTCCACTCTTGTGGGCTGGAATAGCTAAAGACAAACATCCTGAAAGAAATTGCTACATTTGGGTTAACATTGAAACTGTCTTGTAACATGTTTTGTGACGGGAACTAGAATGTCTTATCACCTAAAATGAGGACATGATTCTAGAACTCCTATAAAAGGCAGATTGTAACCCAACCCAGGCCAAGCCTTTGCTAGTGAAGTAAACATTTTGTTTTACCCACTTCTGCATCTCTGTGAGTCATTTACCAGTTCCTTCTGTAACATCCTGAGCTCATCCCTGCAGATGTTCCACTGCAGTGCAAGAGGTGGGCTTATTGAACTTCAGCCCAAACCTGGCCCCTCAGACCACTAGGAAGGTAAATCCCGGCAGCCAGCAAGTACGCAAATTAATTTCAGAAGAAAGGGCAAAGCTTCCTGAGGGCTGCTTTGACCTCCTTGTTTCTCAAAGTATAGATAATAGGGTTCAAGGTGGGGCTCAACATGGTGTACAACACCCCAGCCAGCTTACTCTTCTCTGCATCGTAACTGGAGACAGGGCTGATGTAGGCATAGAAGACAGCAGTGTAGTACATACATACCACCATGAGGTGGGAGGAGCAGGTGGAGAAGGCTTTCTGCTTCCCCTCCACAGTCTGCATTTTCAGGATGCTGGAGATGATGAAGCCGTAGGACACAATGGTCATCAGGAAGTTCAGGATGCCATAGAAGGCATCTGCTAGGACAATCATGATACTGTTCACATAGGTGGAGCTGCAGGAGAGGAGCAGCAGAGGGGGGACCTCACAGAAGAAGTGGGTGATGACACTGGGGCCACAAAAGTCCAAGCGCAACATCAACCCTGTGTGGATGGCTGTGTTGAGGGCGCAGAGCATCCACACACTGGCGACCAGCAGGCTGCAGAACGCTCTGCTCATCATGGTGCCATAATGTAGAGGGTGGCAGATGGCAGCATAGCGGTCATAGGCCATGACCGTGAGGAGCAGTAGCTCTGAGGATGCAGCCCATGTGAGGAAGTAAAGCTGGGCCATGCAGCCCCCGAAGGAGATGGTGTTCTTCTGTGACACCAGACCCTGTAGGGCCTTGGGCATGATGGATGAGGTGCAGATGATGTCCATTGTAGCCAGGTTGAACAGGAAGAAGTACATGGGCGTGTGCAGCCCAGGGTTGAGGGAGATGGCCAAGATGATAAGGATGTTGCCAGTGAGGGCCACCGTGTAGAGCAAGAGGAAACAGCAGAATAGGAGCAGTTGGTACTCTGGGTGCTCTGAGAAGCCCTGCAGGATAAACTGTGTTAGCAGTGTCTGGTTACTCATCATCTTTGGGTTGATCCCTGTCTCTGGGACCTTCTGGTGCATCTCCACTAGCAGCTTCATGAGATTTTGAGGCTAGAGAGAAAAGTGGGGTCCTGAAAAGGCCTGCTGCCATGCTTACCTCATTCCTGACAATGTGTCGAGGATGATACCATGAGGATGTACAAATTAAGGCAAAGGCACCAGTGTCATAGCAGCAAGCAGCATGAACTTGTTAGTTCCTAAAAGTGAACACAAGTGGCCAGTGAAACTCAAGGAGCTTCATTCATCTTCAGTCAAAGAAATGAAGAGCAAATCCATGGCCCACTCCCCATCATCCCCCAGGGGACAAAGCAGGACAGGGAGGCAGTGACTGGCATCCACTCAGGCACAACGATGCAAGGCTTCTAAACATGAGCTCTCTCTGAGCCAGAATTCTGCTTTCTGGAAATGTTTCCTAAGGAAATAATTTAAAACATCTTTAAGTTGTTACAGCTACACCATTTAAGACTAAAAATTTAAAAGCAACCTATACTCTGAACAGTTAATTTCTAATACATATTGGTAAAATAGAATGCATCATAGTTATCAAAATAGTATGCTGGAAGTATCTCATTGGTAACTCTTTTTTTTTTTTTTGTACTGGGAATTGAACTCGGGACCTTGCACCTGCGGGGCTGGTGGCCCAACCACTGAGCTAAATCCCTGGCCCTCACTGGTAACTTCTTAAATGGAATAAGAAGAATTAAAGGTAATGTGCACAAGAGGACCTCATATTGGAGTTAAAGGAAAACAAATCCTGCATATATTGTGCAAGAAAAATAACTGGCAAGTGGTACCAGAGTCTGAGCCCTGGGGTGGGGTGTGATTGATTTTTCTTCCTTTTGCTCATCTGTGTCTCCTAATTTTTTTCTCCAATAACCCTAGTCCCCAAAAGGCATGTGTGATACATAAATCTCTTAACAATTCTTCCAGGCCCCTTACTGTTGATGGCCAGTGCTCCTAAGTCTTTCGCTGGGGCTGCCTCTTCCCAGCCTCGCTGCCAGGGCTTAAAGCTGAGATCAGTGCTGCAGCCTTGCCAAGCTCTCCCACAGGGTGTCCCTGGCTTTGTTCTTGGACCCCCTTAGCCACAGATGCCCTCCTTCTTGGATCCCAGATGCAGCCCCACCACAGTCCCCTAGGGAGGAAGGACCATCCCTCCTGTTTCCCCTTGGGTTCTTGGGCTAACATCTCTCCTAGGACTCAGTACACCTGACTGCCTGTTGAGCCTCCCTGCCTGTGGACTTTGGCCCATTTGTTTCTGGACAGCCTCCTTGGCCTCCAGCCCTGTGCCTGGCATCCATGGGTGTTAGGTGAGGTGATGCTACAGAGCAGTCTAGTATGGATAGCAGCAGTACTTTTCCATCACTTCTAGGGGGATCAGTTCACACTGTGTGCTGTCAAAGATCAGATCAGCACAACCCAGTCCTTCTTTACAACTCTATTCGTTTAAAAAATTAAGAACTCGTTCAGTTTTTAATGAAAAGTTCAGTATTTTGTCAAACCTCAAAAACCATATTTACCTCTGAAACATTAAAAGGTTTACACAAAATGACCAAATATTCCCTACAAATCCAGTCAGGTAACCCTTGTAAGGCAGAGTGTTTTTCAAAGAGCACAGAACAGCTGTGACCTGGAGCAGCAGGACAGTTACACATAGCTGGACCCAGTGCCCCAGGCCACCTGTGTCCTCCCAGAGCAAGGACCAGGCAGCACCCTTGTAGTGGTGAATGAGGTGACCACGGTGAATCAAGCCACCTTCACTCAGTCTGAGCCTGGGGTCTGGAGAAGTGTCACTTCACTTGCTACCTCACCACAGCCAGGCAGCCCTGTCTATCCCCAAAGACACTGGGAGGCTGGACAGGAACAGAGCTGCTTTGCCCCCTGACACCCAGTGCAGGCTTCTGCACTTCCTTTAATGCCCCCCAGGACTTCAGGTCTCTGACACCTCGGCCATCACAGTCTACACCACAGCTCGCAGTTAAGACACCCAGAGTTGCCTGAGGAGGCAGCCAAGTGTATCTCCAACACTTACAGGTTAGCAGTGGCCAGTTCTGTCATGTAGGCAACAAGGACGCTGTGAGGCAGGAAACCTTAACCTGCCTCTCTTGACTCTGTGAGGTAGGAAGAAAACCTCTGCTGCATAACTGGGGGTGGGGGGTGTTGAACAGTTGCTGCACAGAAGAGCATTTCCACAGACCTATCCACACTAGGGGACAAGTGACCCTAGAATAATTACACCCTGGATGTGGTTCCAGGAAGCTGGGCAGTCTCCCCATCTCTGGCTAAAGAATGAAGACACAGAGACTCGTTCCACTGGAATGGTCTTGGTTCCCTTGAAACCCAGGGAGCTTTTCTGGAAATAACAGTCTTTTCTCCCAAGGTTCTCTGGGTATTGGCTTTAATTCATCACAAAGAACAAGATTACTACCAAGGATGAGAAGGGAAGGAACATGATTTCAGCTAACAGTGACTTAAAACCTGCTCTATTCAGGCAACACAGTGGCTCACCTCCTGCGAAAGTGACCGCATATTGAGACAGAGGTTGTTGTCCACACTTATCAACACCTTTTGTGCTTAAGCTTCCTAGAAAATGAAAATGCACTGCAGATGGTTTCTATCAGCTCAAAAAAATAATAGTCACTTTCAAAATCCCTGAAGTTAAAAAAGTACTTTTCACTGGGCTTTTCCTAAAGATAGATTGAATTTTACATGAAATAGAATTTACTTTTGTGAAATCTTACTTTAGTCCCACTGTGTTGTTCATAGTTTGACATCTGGGAAATTATTACTATTTTAAGGTACTTAATAAAACAGAATTTGACTTGTTCTACTTTTATCTCTAAGAGGATTCAAGATTTTCACAAGCATATACTCAATTCAGTGCTCTCCTATTACATAGGAAGGTAGCTATTCCTGTTGCAAACATATTTCAAGAACTGAAAACTAAAAATCAGAATATGCCAAAATTTCACACATTCAGCAGGAAGCCAAATTGAAAGTGACTGTCCAACATGGCTACTAGGAAAGCAAAAGGTTTCCAAGAGACCTGGTATTAGGGACAAAGCTCCTGTCAGTTCCCTGGGCTCAGGCTCCACCCAGGATTCTTTGCTGTGCAATTTGTCAGTTGCTTCCTTAAACCCAGTAAATGTTAAAGAGAAGCCAAGGAAATTAAATGTGAGTCAACAGCTGATATCATTCTTTTTAAGTTTGAGATGTAAGAGTGCAAGCCCTATACTCTCAGCCAGTTTCGGCATCCCATTTCCTCTACTGTTTTATTTACTGATGAAGCAGTAATAATTAACAGGCAGAAATACTCAAATGTCACTGCTCTAGGTTCACTGAGTCAGTCCAGCAGGTTCAATCCCTTCCTGCTTTCTGCATCACCTGACAGAAGACTCCCCCAGAACATGCACAGTCACCTTGAGGAAGTCACTGCACCTCTACAGGGCTCAGAGGTGTGGCCTTCCTCTCTGTCAACAGTGAGTGAGCCTGGGAACACCGTGGCACTGAGGCAGTGCGAGACCAGTCTAGATGGACAAAGCTTTCCTTCCTGTATTTAACAAGCTGATTTTGCCAAGCATTTTTGACTCGTTTAGTAAAATGTGTCCTTGCCTGTGGGAGACACCTGTGAAAAAAACAGGCATTACTCTAAGTGGACCCTGAAGGAGCAATTAAGTCAAGTCCCTCTTTGCTGGGACTTGGCTGTCATGGGTGTTCTACAAAGGCCAGTTCAGTCTTCACTCCAATGTGCAGAAATAGTGGGAGCCCCAGTAGAGTCACAGGTAGCATACTGTGTCCCTGGTCAAAGAGGCTGGGGCGGGGCAACCTAGGCTCAGGTACTCAGAGCAATGAGTTCACCCCTTGTACTGGGGGAGCTTTGGGCCAGCAGCTGACATCTATGAGCTGCTTCACATAGGTCCAGAGGCTGGGCCAACGTCCCTCTGCTGGCCCACATACCCCACCCCTTTTCTGGAGCTTGTCCCTCACCATCCCTCAATGTCCCTTGTCTCTGCCAAGCTACTGTCCCCATAATTTCTTTCTGTCCAAACATGCTAGAAACATGTTATCCAAACATGCTACAAACATGAAATGAAAAGAGAAAATAAGGGTGAACTTAGTGTTATATATTTTCTCACAATAAAAAAGGAACTTTTTATCCAGCAAAATTCTTTCAAAGATGAGATGTATTGCCAAATAACAAGAATGGAGGCAATTTCCTGGTGGCAAACTCATCTTAAGAGGAATTCTAATGGGAGCTTTTCAGGCTGAAAGCTGATGAAAACATCAAATAGTAATGTGAATCCACCCCAAGAAATAAAAAAAAGCTGCAAAGGTAGTTCTGTGGATAATTCCAAAAGCCAATATACTTGCGTATTTTTCTCCCTTCTTCACTTAACTAACTTAACAAGAATTTGTATGTAATAAGATATACTCAGTAGTATTGTTGGAGCTTTAATAGACAGGATGCAGCACATTTACATAAGAGCTCAAAGGAGTGAACAAACGGGAGTGAAGTTGTACAGTAAGGAAACTCACGCCTGCAGAAGACATCAAGACAGCAAGAGTTGACAAATGAGAAGTTCAAGATGACATATTCTATAGGTATATTTTTTTCTCTCAGTCTTCTTTAAAAAATATAAAGCTGAGTAAGGCAATTGTCAGGTTTTGTACATGTATAATATAATAGTAATAGGGGAAAAAGAGAGAGAAAAGAAATAAACCTGTATTTGGATAGTATTTTATATCTTATTAGAATTGTTACAATAAATTTGAGGTAAATGCTAGTAAGTTCAAAAATATATTGTAAACCCTAATTCATCAAATAAGAAAATAACTCACAATAGAGCAAAAGCAAAAATAATTAAAAGAATTTCAATGTTAAAAGTTATCTACTCAGTACAAAGGAAAGTAGTAAAGGAGGAACAAAAACAAAAAGAGGAAGGATGTCTTTCCATTTTCTGATATCCTCATTGGTCTCTTTCAGAGTACTAGAGTTTTTATCATAGAGGCATTTCACTCCCTTGGTTAGGCTGAGTGCTAGG